CAGCTCCTCTCCTTCCCCCGGAGGGTTAGGGTTAGAATCCATTGTTCCATTTTGTTTCTGTTCCAATGGCCAGCGGTACCCACATTCTCGAAAAAAGAGCAGTTTCCTTTTCCTCCAGGTTATCAGGCTCGTGGGTTGACAGTGAGCGACGCGCTACCTCCTCACTCTCGCCCACGACGCCCCCTATTGCCAGCAGCCAAGAGATCGCAGCTCGGAGACCCGCTGCCTCTCCACGCATCTCTGGCCAGTCCCTCCGGGGACACGGGGAGTACCGGCTAGAGCTCTGGTAGATCTGAGGGTCACAGTGAGAGCTTCTCCGCCGGGCACGTCCCCGCGGACCTCTCACTCCTCCCGCAGCGAATGTCCCGTGCGACTCCTAAGTGATTCCGCTGACCCGGCTCGTGATGGTCCCAGCATTTCATTCGGTGAGCCGCCGGAGGATTGGATGTCGATCGCAGCACCGGGGGATGGGCTATCGTCCTCCGAGGATGAAGATTCGGCAGGGCTGCCCCCCTCGGGTGTTGTCGCCACCGCCGACAACCTCTGCACCACCGCAGGTGCGTCGATTGTCCCTTTGGTGCCACTCACACGGAGCTTGGAAGCATGGCTCGCGCTGCCCAACCCGTCCCACTGGCTCATTCGGACAGTTCGACTCGGCTACGCGATTCAGTTCGCCAGGCGACCCCCAGTGCACCTGTGCCCACAAAACGCTGCCACTTGGAGGAATCGTCCGCGTTTCCCGTCCAAAGCCTGCAAGCTGACGGCCACTCTCGCGGCCAAAGCTTACGGTGCTGCAGGCCAGGCCGCCTCTGCCCTGCATGCCATGGCTATCCTGCAGGTCCACCAAGCCAAGGCACTCAAACAAATGCACGAGGGTAGTTCTGGCTCGGGGTTGATGCAGGAACTGCGCACGGCGACTGAATTCACCCTCTGGGTGACGAAATTCACGGCGCGATCCCTCGGGAAGGAGATTGCTGTCCTACTGGCGAAGGACGCAATCGAGCCTGTCCCTCCAGCCGAGATGAAGTCAGGGTTTTACAGTCCTTACTTCATCGTGCCCAAGAAAGGCGGTGGCCTTCGGCCAATCCTGGATCTGCGTGTCTTGAATTGGGCCCTTCACAAGCTCCTATTCAAGATGTTGATGCAGAAGCGCATCATTAGATGCATCCAGCCCCAGGATTGGTTTGCAGCGGTCGACCGGAAGGACGCTTATTTTCATGTCTCGATTCTTCCTCGACACAGGCCGTTCCTACGGTATGCGTTCGAGGGTCGGGCATGGCAGTACAGGGTCCCCCCCTTCGGGCTGTAGTAGTTGGAGTAGTGCTTTCTTTCCTGCAAGAAAGGTTGTCACCCTCCACCTTAAGTCTATGTGGCTGCTATCACAGCACATCACGATGCAATAGACGGCCAGTGCCTGGGAAAGCATGATCTCATCGTCAGGTCCTGAGGGGTGCCAGAAGGTTGAATCCTCCTAGGACACCCCTGGTGCCCTCCTGGGATCTATCTACTGTCCTGGCTGGCCTTCAGAGGGATCCCTTTGAGCCGCTGGACTCAGCTGAGCTTAAGTTCCTGTCTGCTAAGACAGCGCTCCTGACCGCGCTCACTTCCATGAAGAGGGTCGGGGACCTCCAAGCATTTTCGGTGAGCGAAGAGTGCCTTGTGTTCGGGCCGGCCTCCGTAAGAGCGTTGCGCATATACGTGGACCGCACCCGGAGCTTCAGAAGCTCTGAGCGGCTCTTTGTCTGCTACGGAGGTCAGCAGAAAGAGAAGGCTGTCTCCAAGCAGAGGTTGGCCTACTGGATAGTGGATGACATCGCCTTGGCTTACCATTCCCAAGCTGAGCCGTGCCCCCTGGGGGTGAGGGCTCACTCCACACGGAGTGTGGTCAGCCTCTTTAGTGGGCTAGGTGTCCATATGACTTGATTCCCTGTGGGCGATCCCATATGTGTATTCTTCCACGGTAAGGTTTCCCTCTCAGTGAACCCGTGTCTTTCCTTTGACAGACCACTCTGTCAGTCTCTGCTGGCAGCCGTTCCTCCCTACTCCTAGGTAGGACCTGCCTCAGAGACCCATTCCATATGTAGTACTGCCCCAAAAAACTGAAACAGAAGCGAAACAAGTAGTAGGTTTTCACATCAAAACCTTCCCAATTGCTAATCAAAACGTTAGCCCAAAAGCAGTGTTGGGAAGGTTACTTAGGAAATGTAATAGATTACAAGTTACCCTATTAAAAAATGTAATAAGTAGTGTAACTATAATCATGACAAGAAACCTTGATATTTTAAACATTTCAAAACAATGTTCCCACAATGTTTTTATAACCTAAATTTGTTATCTGTGTTAACGTCAAACCAGACACAGCATATGCAAAGGCACCAATTTGGGAGATAAAGTGGATGATTTTTCAGTGAATAACACTTGAATGACATGAATATAGAGTTGTGTAGACTGCTGTTGTGATTCATTATGTATCTTGATTTTGTAGTTTGATGGCCACAGTCCTATTTAAATTAATAGTAAAAGAAGATGACAGAAAGTCATTTGTAGTGTTTCAGTCTTGATATCGAAACCCGTAAGACAAATTCGCAATGGGCACCCTCAAGATTTTCCCAATTCATGAGTAAAATAAGGTGTGTGGCAAGGTCAGAAATTAACTTTTGCATTGCATTTGCATTGCATTGATTTCCAGGGGCATTGTTTACATTCTTGAGGGCAATTTTTATAATGACATTGTTATTATAATCACCATACTATGTTGTCTTTAATGTCAAATAGGCTACTCAAATTTACCCAATTACGTTAATCAATATTTTAAACTGTTATTAATAACAATAGACTGTTTAAAATTGTATCTAAGTTATATTATGACAAAAACCATTATATATTATTGTTCTTTGTATTGTAATAATTATTACTACTAATATATAGTATTATTATTACTTTATTAAAGTAATGTAACTGATTACATTTGAGTATGTTTTTATTATTATTTTTTATGTTTTCAACTGTTATTAATTTTCAAACATTTAAAGCAGGGAGGATTAACCTTACAGTAGCCTAGTACTCAACACTGATTACTGTCAGACTTTCAAAATCATTCATCACTTGAATTAAAGGGATAGTTCACCCAAAAATGAAAATGTGATGTTTATCTGCTTACCCCCAGGGCATTCAAGATGTAGGTGACTTTGTTTCTTCAGTAGAACACATATGATGATTTTTAACTCCAGCTGTTGCAGTCTATCAGTCGTATAATGCATGGCAATGGTAACAAAATCTATGAGAGTAAAAAAAACATGCACAGACAAATCCAAATTAAACCCTGCGGCTCGTGACGACACATTGATGTCCTAAGACACGAAACGATCAGTTTGTGCCAGAAACCGAACAGTATTTATATAATTTTTTACCTCTAATACGCCACTATGTCCAACTGTCTTTGGGCGCGCGCAGGCATCCGGTGCGTGAGGTGTGTACAGTATTTGCACAACTGTAAGCACATTGTCAGCTTCACACTATTTGCAAAACATTACA